ATGAGACAATGGCTGCCATTCGACGGCTTCAGACTTTTGGCCAAAATATCAGCGAAAAAATGAGTGAATTTAATAAACGTATGACTAATAGGATGTCAGAAATGCTGATGACTATAGACTTGGAGCCGACGTGTATGGCGTCGATAGTGAGGATCATGACTGGTATCCGGAATGGAGAGGTTTGGGCCATAAAATGTATGTTTCATAGCATATACTTTACATAATTAGTTGTTAATTAATACTAAAATTGAAATAACACACTTTATTTTAAAAGTTTTGGACGCTCAACCTAGATTACAATCAGGAATGGTTGACATGACTGGTCCGCCGTTCGGTAATTATGACCAATGCATTGGTATAGAGGGTCCCGAAGAAGACCATAAGCCCATAATCCGTGGCCAGTATTGCGGTATTGATCTGAGAGATAATGTGATGCTTAAGTCATTTCCGAGAGAATACTTCGAGAATTTAAGCGAAAATCTGCCAAAAACTGATACATTTAACTACAAGAATGCCTTCAATCAGTTCTTTGAGAACTATCGTCGAGTATTCTATCGGATGACCACCGATGATATGATGGATGCCATGGAGTTCATCGACAATCAACTCTTTAATAATATGAAATTAATTAACGGATTCTGTTTGCCCACCACTTGTCGACCCCGGGATGTGTCCAACGCTCTCAATCAAAGTATGAATTATAATTTATAAATGTTATTACTTGTAATGTGGTAAATATTGATCACTATTATCTAATCCATTATATTGACAGTCATGTATCCAATCATTCGCATACCAATCATTTTGGACGACGATTGTGATTACGCGGATAAACCAATTATACTTAATAAGTATCAACAGATTTCAGTGTATGACAAAAATAATCTCATAAATCATAAAAAAGTACTTAATTTTATACTTATTTCTCTCGATTATCTATAAAATAATACCAATAGAATAGGGATATCATCTTTGGTAGTGCTGTTTGTGATGAGCAATATAATCATGTGCTGCTCTCCCGACTCATACATCAGGCGTTTAATCAAAGGTACTTTCATCGAGTTTATAGCGAGATGCTATTGGGCCAAAACAAGTGCCGCATCCATGTTCAGTCTAACGCAGCATGGTAAATTCAAAGCATTGGACGGCTACCGGGCCTGTCTAACAATTTGGGTGGTCATACTTCACACCTACGAGTTTGGAAACATAGTTGTGAACAATAAAAACTACTTTCTCGGCTCATCCCATAAGATGATCCACGACTATAGGAATATGATTTTTCCTAATATTTTGCTCATGGACAATTTTATGATCATTACAGGTATTTATTTTTATTTGTTTCATTGTATATTATTTTTAATGCATAATTTACCACAATTATAGGATTTGTATTATGCAATACAATGATGTCAAGACTTAAACAAAGTAAAGGCCGATTCAATTATATTAATTATTTGTTATTCAGGTATTATATAATTAAAACACGTTTAATATAGTAATTAATAATTTATTATAATAAATATAATTTATAGATACGTGAGATTATTGCCAATCATCATATTTGCTTTGATGTGTACATTTATATTTGAATTTACCGGTTCAGGTAACTGTAATATAGCTGTAAGCTTATTTTAATATTACCATGTTAATTATTATCAATCTAATTTGTTTCTAGGTCCATTGTGGAAAGTGGTTCTTGTTTATTTAGTAGAGCCTTGTTATGACAAGTGGCATAAGCCTCTCTTAATGATTAATAATATGCTTTATTATCCAAATGAAAACACAACAATATTATCGTCACTAAACGTCTGTTATTACTATAATGTCATAGTTATTAAAATTATTCTAAACTATAATTAAATTTTTGTTTATTCATTTCCATATAGTGTTTGACAATAACATGGTATGTATTCAAACACTATTACAAAATGCACAACATGATTTACTGATATTATATTGCATATTAAACTCAGTTACATAATTGTTTTATGTAGTTTTAAATATAAACTAATTAATATGATCTAGGTACTCATCGATGGACTTCCAACTGTACGCTATGGCACCGATAGCTTTTATACTGTTGTATCGGTTCGGCAGTAAAGGAGTATATATGGTAATCGGCCTCTTATTTGTAGCAATCGGACTACCCGTGTTTTACAAATTTGTGCTAGGTCATTTACATGTGTACGAGATAACGAGCCATCCGAACCTCCGAGAAATCATGTTGGGCTGGAGTACACACTATTGGGGCCCGGTCAATTACATTCAGACATTTATTATAGGCATGCTATTGGCCTGCGCTGTACGCTATCGGCCCAACGTATATCTGGGCGGCACTATTGGTCATCTGATCCTATGGTTTGGCACCGCATGTATTACTTTGGGTCACATGTATTGGCAGCGAAAAATGATTTTCCCTGGATTTCAATACGCAGAGGGCGAACAACTTCTCTATTTGACTATTCATAAGCCCGTATATCTGTCGTGGTTTGCATGGCTTATATACGCCACGTCCACCGGAAGGGGAGGTTTGCATCGATACTAATTAATACCGTTGTAACGATTAAATTAATTAAATTGCATTTTAGGTTATTTCTCTGAAATACTCGGTTGGAAAGGGTTTAAAATAGTAGATAACATGTCGCTCGAAATCTATATTGTATGGCTTAATATTTATAAAAATTAAATTACAAATATAGATTTATAATTATCATTAAACAGATGCACGCGTTTGTGTTTGTCTATAGGATTGGTGTGCAAAGAGAGCACCGGACATACAATGAATATTATATTGTAGGAAAAATTTCATTTATAGTATAATATTTTTACTAACTTTTTTATATTTTTTAATAATAATATAAATCTAGTGGTCGTCAGCGATGGCAGACTTCGTGTTTAGTTATGTGATTGGAGTGATCACCGGTTTTCTGGTGAGCCGTCCGTTTGCGGCGATGACCACAGCATTGCTTCGTCCGCCACAACGCGTCCCCAAAGCAGTGGTCAATGAGGAGGGATTGGACGCCAAGAATACCCATAATAAAGATATTTTGGCCGAAAGTAATGCTAAAAATGGATTATCAATAATATCTGTTGAAGACATCGTTAATTTGAATGTCATTCACCATAATTCAGAGAAAATTGTTTATAGAATGTGAAAAACAAATACTATCGTTATGTTAAAATACAGTTAAGTTTTGTTTAGATTAATATAAATTAATTATACATTTAAAATCTGTTAAGCTTTCTATAAAATAATAATTAATTAAATATTAATTTTTATTATAATTATTTTTGCTTTAATAAAGGCCTTATTGTTATGATATTTTATTTATCAATAAATGTTTTAAATTATGCACTGGTAAACAAAACTAAATATACAAATATTACCCTTGTACTGTAGCAAAATAAGTGTCCAAAATCACCATTAATAAAAATTTATAAAAATATTAGTTATTGGAAATGTAAAGATGTTGAACATTGATCTTTATATCAAGATCAATGTTATTTGATGGACAAATTACACAAGTTTTAATGTAACCTCTAAAATTACAGTCTACTGCAATTAACAAACATTTAGGGATTACAATAACTTTTATTGCATAAATTTACCTCATTATAGGGCTAATTGTGTTATAAATGAATTTTAGATAAAACATTGTAAGTGTTATTTACAAAATTACATATTTATTTTCAATCACTTTCTTAATAGGTTTTTCACGAGGAAATGCAAAATAGTTATTGTTTAATGTATACTGTCAACTAAAAATAACCATCATATTATGTGAAATGATTTTTTATGTTTTTGACTGTAATGAGGGTAAAAATTATAATTTTGGTGGAAATTTTTCATACATTTTTCAGCTCGCATTTTGTAATATTTCTTATGTTATAACACTTAAAGTAAATATTAATTTTAAATAAAAATTTACTTTCCATCTATAATAATAGACATATTTATTTCATCTCGATTACTAGTAAATAGAGTAGTTTTTAACAACATTTATAATGAGCATTTTAAAATTAATCAGGATCACATTACTATTATTTATAACATACATCACAGTAATTAATAGCCAGGAAAGTGATTATGATATACCGTTAGATAACTCTGATTACCAATTGGACAACAACTCAAGTCTTGCTGTCAACCAATCGGCGAACGGAACCGATGGTGACATTGGATACGATGTCGACGGCGACTACGAAGACGACGATGAAGGCGACGACGAAGACGATGAGGAATGCTCTGTGGATGAGTTTGTCGACCATTACAGCCAACTTTTAATGCCCGATGACTACGAAGAGGGAAAGAAACTGGATTTTACGCAAAAGTCGTTCACATTTTCCGAGAGTATCGTCAAATTCAAGCGTTTGGATCAGTTCCAGAAGAATGTGACCAAAAAACTGGACCCAATCATGAAACGGGTGGCGCCGCGACTCTCGGAGTTTCTCTTCTACATTGATCTGCCGTCAGATTGTATGACAGCATTGGCTCGTGTGGGACAAGCCATCCGAGCGCAGGAGACCTGGGCTTTCAGATGTAAGTTTTGTATCCGTTTTTATCTAGTATTAAACTCTATCAAAACAGCTTAAAATGTTTCAACTTTGAAGCGTTTAAGTTAAAAACCAATTATGAAATGTAGTACAGTATACAATTTGACATGTAGTACATGTAAAATACAATTAAAACATTTATTACAATAATATCAAGTCTTGGACTCTTCGCCGATTGGAAAGATGGACTTAACTTCACTGCCATTTGGCGAATACGACGAGTGTCTGGACATTGAGAGCCGATACCAATGGGACAAACCCATGATATACGGCCAGTACTGCGCCCTCGGACTTCTTCGCCGATTGGAAAGATGGACTTAACTTCACTGCCATTTGGCGAATACGACGAGTGTCTGGACATTGAGAGCCGATACCAATGGGACAAACCCATGATATACGGCCAGTACTGCGCCCTCGGACTGCCCCTCTCTATCATACCTCCGAGCGGTTCCCACACCGCGGAAGACAATCGCCGAAACGACGCCATGTTATTGAATTATATGCGACAACGAGCTAACTCTACCGAAGAGAGGACACCGCAAAAAGATTTCATGGATCGGCTGAACAACGAAACCGATGGACACCTAATGGAAGGGTTAATGAGATATATTGAATACTTGGGCGAAGAAGAGGTCCGACTCCCGCCCGGTATCTGTCTTCCAACCGCTTGTAATGCAAAAGACTTTGAGTTCGCAATCAATAAGAGTGAGTGAAATGTAAATATTTTTAATGAATAAATTATTAATTACTATTTACTATACATTTTCAGTACTTTATCCGTTCACACACTTCAGTATTAGCATTAATCCTGACTGCGATTATAAGGACAAACCGATTTCCATCGATAAATATCAAATAACTTCTCTTCGCCGATTGGAAAGATGGACTTAACTTCACTGCCATTTGGCGAATACGACGAGTGTCTGGACATTGAGAGCCGATACCAATGGGACAAACCCATGATATACGGCCAGTACTGCGCCCTCGGACTACCCCTCTCTATCATACCTCCGAGCGGTTCCCACACCGCGGAAGACAATCGCCGAAACGACGCCATGTTATTGAATTATATGCGACAACGAGCTAACTCTACCGAAGAGAGGACACCGCAAAAGGATTTCATGGATCGGCTGAACAACGAAACCGATGGACACCTAATGGAAGGGTTAATGAGATATATTGAATACTTAGGCGAAGAGGAGGTCCGACTCCCGCCCGGTATTTGTCTTCCAACCGCTTGTAATGCAAAAGACTTTGAGTTCGCGATCAATAAGAGTGAGTGAAATGTAAATATTTTTTTATGAATTAATTATTAATTACTATTTACTATACATTTTCAGTACTTTATCCGTTCACACACTTCAGTATTAGCATTAATCCTGACTGCGATTATAAGGACAAACCGATTTCCATCGATAAATATCAAATAACTTCAATGTAATCTCACAAACAACGAGTTTATTTTAGCATTTATTTAACTTAATGGTATTATTTTGTTTATTATCTAGAGTTATGTTGTCACTAATGGGAACAATATGTATAATTTGTACAATTATTTACTTAATCCGATCGACGGAAACGTCGGACAAACCGGTGGCCGACGGGAAACCGACGGCCCGAGTGTTTCAAGTGACCGACTGTTTCGCAATTGTACCCAATTTTGTGTCTATTTTTGATATGCGGTCAAAGCCTAACCGACTGTCGGCGGTGGACGGCGTGCGGGCCGTACTGTGCTTTTGGATGTTTATCCAACACGAGTACGACATGGGATACCTTCCCTTCCAGCACAAGAGGACCTCCCAATCGGCTCCCTATGACTTTCACACATCCCTACGCTATATATTTCTCATTAACTGGAATCTGACCGACACTTTCTTCCTGATGGCCGGTATGTATGCATATATATAACCATTAGTGGTTAGAGGGATGGCGGGACTGAAATAAATTAGACGTGGTTTTTGAATAATTAAACCTATTAATTAGCTAGTATTCACTATAAACGTTACAATAAGTACAGTCGTCAAGTGCCCTAATACAGTCATATGTAGTCAATTGTAAATATTTACAAATAATTTAAATATAAAAGTTTATCAATGTATAATAGGTGTGTTTAAACCTCAGTCATTATATTAGTGTACTCTATATATGAATGAATTATGAATAGTGTATAAAGTATAACACATTTGAATAATGCTTTGTTCACTAGCGTGGACAAACCGGTCACTTATGTATATAACCCATTATTACCTGTTTTAATGCCAATAGTTTTGGTTAATTTGTATTAAGTTTTATCGATGTTTTGTTTTATAGGTTTTCTGTGCTCTTATGTTATGATAACTAAATTAGACAAAAGGCGTGCTTTTGATTATTTTAGTTACGCTTTATATCGGTCTGTATTTATAAGTGTATAATTTTGACAATATTTTGAATTTTAATTTTTATAATTTATAGTTATTTCCGGATATTACCAATTATTCTGACGGCAATTGCCATAACATTTATTATCGAGTTAATAGGCGATGGTTTGCTAACAAATACTTTGCTTTAAAACTATTAATTAATAATTAAAATTAACTTTAGGTCCTCTTTGGCCGCTCATCAGTCATATATTACAGAAGCCTTGCATTGAGAGTCCGATGTCTACCATATTTATGGTCAATAACTACATATCATTCCCCAATTTAGTGACAGTATGTTAATTAATACTACTTTCATATACAAACCTTTAAACTAAAATTAATTTTACCTTAATTATAGTGCGTTCCCGCCACGTGGTAAGTGTCAATTGAAATTCTTATTTTATTTTACGACAAATTTATTAAAAATATACTTGTACAATTAAAAAAAAAACTATCTAACCCAAGATTGATTGACACAGGTATGCGTCGACATACTTTCAGCTATGTTTATTGGCACCGTTTGTTGTGCTAATACTATACTATGCGCCCACAATTGGCATACTTTGGTCACTTGTGGTCATAAGCTTCGGCTCATTCCTATCGATATCACCCAAACTGATCGCCGGAATCCCGCACTTCTTCGAGTCCTATAAGAGCCTCAGTATTGATACAGTGGTCAGTAGTGTCGGCCATCACTTATGGGGCATTGAAACTCACGTTCAGCTCTATGTGTTGGGCCTATTGTTTGGTTACTTAACCAAACGGCACCCAAACATGTATTTGGGCGGCATTTTTGGCGAACTGGCCATTTGGTTGACCACTTGGGCCATGACTTTCTACGCGATCTTTTGGCACAGAAATTATTTCAATTTTGAAGAATATTCTGTCACAGAATCGGAAATAACACATTGGATTCTGTGGTCAAAGCTATGTTACGGTGCCGGATGGGCATGGTTATTTTACGCTTGTAGCACAGGGAGAGCAGGTCCAGTATCTCATTAACTAGATCTTTGTTTAATAGTTTGATGTTTTAATTATTAACAAATTATTGTTTAGGTTTTATAAACTCGTTCTTCAGTTGGAAAGGATTTAAACCATTTTCACACCTAATGCTAGAGATATATATGGTTTGTGTTTAATTGGATTAGTTTTAAGTAATTTTAATATTTAATTGTTTTTTATGTTGGTAAATTATAGCTTCACTTATTTGTGCTGATCTACAGAATCGGCACAATTAGAGAGAGAATATTCTACAGCAACTATTATGTGGTCTGTATTTTATAATTAAATCAACAATTAATGACAATTTAATATTAATGAACATATATTTTGCGTTACAATTAGTGGACAGTAATTATATTTGACTACATATTGGCGTTTATACTATCGGTAATCGTCAACGTATTTGTGACCAAACCGTTGGCCAATGTCTTGAATCTGGTCTACAAAGTGGACAAAACTCGCGACATATTTGACGAAAATAACAACAATTGGCAGCAAAACGGCAAAGAAGTGCTGCCTTTGGACGCCGTCAACGACGACAAGGAAGTGGTGGTCTTCACGAACTCCGCCTTCGATGGCGACAACGATATCATCGCTAAAGTAGTCAACACTGAGACTCTGATCAACAATAATAGCAATAATAATAATGTGGTCAACAATACTAACGATGCAAATGTAGTGTAATTTTATGTATATTTTAATAGCAATTAAAGCAATGTTTTGAATGAAAGTCTAAATAAATGTCATTTCAAAGTTTGATAAACTTTTTAAACAAACTTTTTAATTAACTTAAAGTTTTTAAATTCAACCCCTAATGAAAGACACGGAGGAAGGGATGTGTTGACTGAGTCGTGGACACCATAGGGTGATCATCACTATCTGGTGGACAGGGAATCGGTTCCCAAACGTGTGGTCAATGCGAACAATGATATCGTGTTTCGTATGAATTGATGGCTAAAAAAATCTCAAATCAAAACTTTATGTTTGAAAACCGCATTCAATGACAGCATTGATGTATCGATGCGTCCACTCATTGGCCACGCATTGGTTGCTATGGTTTCGACGCAATTCACTGTCCAATAGAATATTTAATTGAATTTTTGTCATTCGTTTTGGCGTTTGTTTTGAAACTCGAAACACAATTCGCGTCTCATTTTGGACCGAATTTTCGGTCAAAACAAACCAAACCCGAAGACAATATGGCGGACGACATGGAGGAAGAGATGACACAACTCATCAACCAATACATGGAGTCGAGTGTCGCGTTTGGCGCCGATTTGGAGACACTGTCCGATGGTTTGGCGGCCAATGCGGGCCAATGGGTGTTCGGCTTTGCACACGTCGTCGACATCACATCACTCAACACATCCAACAATGGTTACCATCGATGACATCCACACAACCCATTCCTCGACAGTCATTGGTTGCTGTGATTTATATCTGTTTTTTATTTTGCAGACAATTTGGACGACTATTTGGCGCAAAATGCGGACACTTTTGGCGACATTTTCCGCAAACGTCTGATTCGCCGAATCGGGAAACAAGTCCTCAACGACCGCAACATCTGGTCGTGTCTGAAGTTCAAGAATCTCAGCCAACAGTAAGCCATCGATTGTATTGTTTTATGTATTGAATTGTGTTTTTTGCCACTGTTTTGGTGTCCGCCGCGAAGATATCACCACAAGAAGTATAAGCACGTGAAGCGCAGCGAAAGCAAACTCGTGACCATTGATTTCCTTCAAGTGGTGTCAATGAGTGCGCCGACGAAGACGTTGATCGCCACTAAACTGGTGGCCATCGATGAGAACCAATGCGACGCTCCGTTCAAATGGAAAGTGCGGCCATTGGCCGACACTAATCGCGGATACGTTAACAAGAGTCAGAAGTATCGCGAGTCCAGCGATGACCGCATTCACGCCAAAAAGCGCAAAATGGCGGCCATTTTTGGCACCGATTACACCAAAGATGGGATGAAAAACATCGAAATCACTGTGAATTACATGGCGTTCACTCAGAAAGAGCTCGACTACCTCTACATCGGATCCCATCTCCAGATGGTTGTCCTCCTGAAGAGTCGTCCCAAAGAGTATATACTGTTGTCGTTCGACAAGAAGTTCTGTCGCCGACCGGCGGTCCACCAATCGGTTCCACTGAGCGGTGAATTCGACCAATTTCTCAATCAATTCCCACAACAAATACAACTCTTGTTCAACGGTTTGACAGACAATTGGTTTAACTATTGATTAAAACTCTGTATATTTCACATACATTTGTAGACCGATTGCAATCCAACTATAGTTTTATGTTGAGTTTGGCGTTCATTTTCGGCGAAAACGTCTCGCTTTTGGGCTCATTCTTCCGCTTGAAGTTAGGACTCCTGTTGAATGTCTTATCGCTCAACGATTTCCCGAAAGTAATGTCCGGCAAAACGCCATTCAAACCAAATGTATATTAATATTGATTATCTATTGCCAAACAGCGCAACAACTCATCAGTTCTGGTCGTCTGTAACGATACAACGATGACACGGCGTCTGCTTCACTGGTCCGCACTCTTCGCCGATCACCACTTCATTCAGACATCCATTTCGCAGCTCATGTCTGGCGGCACTCGTATGACGGGTGGTGTCGAGTGGACCGACTCGGGAGCGTTGCATTTGGGCGCCGATGGCGTCACTGTAATCACGGGCGCCGTTGGTCTCAACGATCTGCCGGTGAAGAACCGGACGGCTCTGTTCCACGCGTTGGAGTCCAACGAAGTGATCGCCCGAAACAATCAGTCACCGCTCGACAACCAAACGCTCAAAGAAGTGGAACTGAAGACAACTATTTGGGCGGTCAGTGAAGACATTGTCGAAGAGAGGGAACTGAAGCCAAAGGGGCGGTCGATGTTTGGCGGCCAACAGATCCGTTGGAGCGAAGTCTTCGGAATGGTTTATGTGATCAAAGACCCGACAGATCGCTACTTCTATCAGCCATCGGGTGACTACACTTTCGATATGGATGAGTGGCGACAGACACTTGAGCTCATGGCTCACATCCGCCCACAACTGAGCGTAGAGGTAGAGGAACTGCTTCACGACTACTTCATGTCCAATCGTCGCATTCGCGGCTCAGTTATGAAACGCCTCTCAATGGAAACGCTGGTCTGTTTGGCCAAAGGGTCGGCCCGACTGTCGCTGCGGCTGACGGTCACCAAACACGACGCTCTGATGGCTATTCTTCTCTACGAAGAGTCACTTAAGGCCCGATTCCCGCACTTCCTGTCCTCACTGGCCATCGAACCCGTGTTTCACGTGCGGAGCGAAGACATGGCAGACGCCATCGGACCAAATGTATGTCACAATCGACTCCTAATAGTTTTCATTTCATTAATTTAATACTAATTATGTTGCGATTCTCTATGGGAACTGACAGTGCGATCACTTTATGGCCGATTTTGAGCGCAAATTGAATCAATTTATCGACGAAACCAAACCCAAGTCAGAGGCCAGTGGTTCCAGTGGTTCCGCTTTCCAACAATTCATACTAAATGAAGAATAACTTTAATTTCATTCACATTTATTTAATTCAATGATAATTACTTCAATTCGTAGCAAATAATTAATGTTTTCGTTTCTATTTTCGTTTCAATATTTTCTATTCAATTGTTAATTAATTTCATGTGTTTAATAGCTGTTAAATAATAGATTTAAATGTTCTTTAAATAACAAATACTTAAAATGTTAATAAATACTACTAATAAAAGTTTAAATAAATAATATAAATCAATAAAATGTCTAAATTGTGTTTAAAAGTGAAAATAGTTGTTAAAAAAGTACATTAATCTCTAGGAAAGAGAGTCAATCTGATTGTGAGTACTAATCCGATGGTATTAAGTATAAGGTGTGAACAGTTAATTACAATATAATTATCACGAATTAAGTGGTGAAACCATATCATGAATTAAGTTTGGCAACCAATTCATTATAAATGTGATCATGGCCAATTGTATGATTACATTTATTTATATTTACAAAACAATTTAACTTTTAATCAAAATAAAAATACCTTAAATAACTAATAAGTGATTTAGAAATCCAATTACCGGTAAATAACTGATAGTTATATCGTTTAATACCATTTAAATTATTTAAAACCATGATCTTATTGTTTTTGGAAATAATTTACAAATTGATGATTTACTTTAAATTTGAAACGATATTACATTAATAGTCCGTAATTTAATAAATAAATTCATAATTAAATGTAAATTTAAACAAAATTTAGATAAAAAATAGTTACATTACAAAACACAATAATAATTAAATGTTATTTTAATAATTAAATGATTGAATTAATAATTAAAAGATTATATGAATGAAAAATCTATTGATTTTTAGTGAATATATTGAAGAACGATATCTCGTCGGTGAGAGTGGGGGCCGATTGTGTGGCAGCGGGTGGTCTGTGAGCGCCCATAACTATACCGCCAAAAGGTGTGGTCGAGTGACGAGCGGTCGGATGTGATGTGCGGCTGCCGTAGAGGCTGTTCTGCCACTCAACCAATCGGTTCTCAAGAAATCTCAATTCGTTGCTCGAAGTGAACGGATTCCTGCGCCCCGTCCGCGGGTTACCCGCCGTTTGGGTCGCGTTGTGGCCAACGATTGGCTCATTTGCGTTGAGAGCCGACGCCCGAGAAGTGACACCGAAAGTCGCGGCGACAGTCAGTGGCGGCAAATCCGCCGTAAGACTAATGTTTCCCGCGTTAGGTCTCAATGGAGTCCTTCTGAATGGCATTTGACGGCCAATTAATGGAACCGATGATCGCATCGACGGTTCTCTTCTTCTATTCGCCAAATAATTCAACACAATATTGTCCGACAACTGAGACAATCGTTTGGCACCCGATTGGTTGGCGGCGCGCGAAGTGTTGGCCGTATTATTTGGGCCCAAATTAGTGCCGCAATTGATTGGAAACGGCGTTTCCGGTGGCCGTCGAAGAGTGGTCCCAAGTTTGGCCCGTTTCGGCTCAAAATACTTCATATGTTTGGTCACCCATTGGTCGGTGTCTTCGGCCACACGAATGCGTTTGTTTGCGTCGATTCTGCCGTCGGATGAGTTGTCGTCCATTTGCTCCTCATTTGCGGCCAAATTCAGCGGCGATTTGGCAGTCGTTTCGTCCGACACCTCTTCCGCTTGCGCTCCAAAGTTCTTTGGCACCACTTCTTCGGATCTATTCATCAACTGTTGGTCGCGTTGACCGCGACTATCGTCGGCCGCCGATCGACACTCAATGTGGCGCTCAATGGGTTCGCCGAAAGTGACGCTCCGTTTTCTCTTGTTATTCCTCGACAGCTGAGTGTCGGCCACAACGACGACGCTATCGTCGTTCAGCTGATCCGCCGTCTCGTCCAGGACTTCGCGGGCCGTCTGTCCGCCCAAATCACGGCCACACATGAGGTCACCGATTGGCTGGTCAGCGACGGTGAGGGCGGCGGCGGTCACCGCAGTTATGGCGCCCATAGCCGGGCCTTCGCTCGCGATCACCGGTTGGATGTGTTGGTCGCCGCCACCGCTGTCTTCGGTGTCTTCGGCGATGGTGGCCATGGATTGTCTGAATGCGGCCATCGATGACAGCGAATAGAAATCAAAGCCTAAAAATTTGGGCATTTGTTGTGCGGACACAAAATGGGCGCAAAAATTGTGACACAATCTCAACGCGTAATCAATGAATACTTGATATCACATATCGAGTGACCTTTAAGTGTCATTCACTTCACAAATCACTGTTTGGTTGACAACACAAACGGTTGTCTTGTTTTGTCTGTCATTAACCCCTTTTGGCGAACGGTTGGCTTCACTGCGCTGTTTATACCCGATATTGGAATGCATTGAATGGTAATGTGTTTACAGTTTATTCGTGTCTTACAGCGAAGCCCAACAGATATTGTGTAATTAAAAGTGATGCAAATGTTAATGATTTGAGTGTCGATGCAATACAGTCTACAGTCGATCAAAATGTTTAATAAACTACACAACACTTACAATAAAGTGAGAACGTATGGAGAGAAGTGCATAGTAACGGGGTTCGCTATAAACACACGTCCAGTTTATTTGGTTATATAGATCTAGATTAATGATGGTTACAATTTAATAAACACATCGACACCGCAATAGTGTTTACAACAAGTGTACGCAATATCGGGAGTCGACTGTTGTGTATAAATAGTTTTGAACACAAATCGAATGAATGAATGAGTGATTGATTTGTTTGTCAACAACTGATCCCAAGACAGACACCACTGAAGAAGACACCACTCATTCACCACTCACTCCACTGTCTCTCTCACTCTCGATGTCAGTGCGGATCAGTTTGAGTGACTCATCGGCGGTGAGCAGTGGTCTGCGGGAGCTATACGTCGGCCGGGAGTTGACGGACACCCGACTGGTCTGCTGTGACGGCTCAGTGTTGGCCCACCGATTGGTGCTGTCGGCGGTGTCGCCACTCTTGCGGTCGCTGTTGACCTCCGAGTCGTCGTTGTCGTCGTCCACCGCTTCCGTCCTCTTCCCTGACGACCGCCGCGAAGACATTGAGTCGATTGTCGATTGCGTGTACTTCGGCCACAAGTCGGTGGACACGACACGCGTTCAGCCGTTGATACGATTGGCCGCCAAATATGGTATCGATTTGCGGACGTCTGTCAGTGCGGTCATGGCGTCCGGCCTTCGCGGCGATGCCGTCCGCAACAACACCGCCGCTGAGGACGACGACAGCGCCGGCCCTACGGCTCAGCGATCGGTTCCGTCGCCCCTATCGATGGCACCGCATCTTCAGTGTCGCGGAACCGATGATAGGCGACGAGAAGTGATTACCGCTCACGAGAGGGGTATTTATTGTCGTTTTTGAGTTGATTTCAATGTCTGAACCGTTTTTTGTTTGTCTATCAGAGGAAATAGCGATCGATTTGTCCGCCAATTCGAGACCACAGCCCAAGAGAGACACTATAATGGAGGCAATCGACGCCGTTGTGGCCAACACTGGAGCCGTCGGCGAACCAGTGGTCAAACGCCGGCGCAAACAATTGGATCCCAAAACGATTGCTCCGAAGAAAACCAAATCACAGGACACTATCGATCAGCTGAACCACAAATCGTTGAACGCGTTAAGAAATGTCTGCAAAGACCAATGCTTTGCCCACAACTCTGGCCAGACGTCACTCAACGAGTCGTCGGTCGACATTGCAATTCCCTTAGCCTATACATCGTCTCAATCGGATCCCGAGACCACCACTACGAACGACACGACGGGTTCGGCCGCGGCTTTCAATAGTATCTTTCGGGACAAAGTTTGGGCCCAATTGTTGAAAATCAATTTCTTGCGGCCGACCGTTGATCCCGACGAGACGGACACCGATTGTCCCGTCTGTTTGGTTACATTCGTGACGTTTCGCCAATTGATTGATCACTTGAATACTGACCACAAGATTAACAATGGCTTCCAGTGTCGCAAATGTGGCAAAAATGTCAAATACGCCAAAGCTTTAGTCACACATAACACTCAATGCAGTCTTTAGTTTAGAAAATATTTTTCATTTTTATAACCATTTCTTTGATTTATTTTGTATTTTATTTGAAAAATATGTTATTTTTTATTCAATTTTATTAATCCGTAAATTCTATGTCTATTTATAATTGAGATTAACGTTTGAACCGATGTTTAAAATGTATTTTTCACTAATAATTCAATGCGCTTAGAGTTAGAGTTTTTAAGAGTTGTTTTTGTATTTATTATTTATAAATTATTTATTAATTTTGTCATAATTTCGTAAACTTAGAACTTATTTATTTAAAAACACATATTATTTGTAAATTTTGTTTAATTTTAATAGTTTTATTCACTTGTAAAATGAATAACTTTAATTTTAAATTCATTTATTTAAATTACATTTAAAATAAGTTTTATAATTGTATTTATTTGTCGATTAAAATATCAAATATGATTAACAATTGTTATTAATTTGTATGCATTTGTTTATATCGATGGCATTAATAGTCCATTTCATAAGATGTGAAAATGATAGTCAATTCAAATATTAGTGAAAATACAGCAAAATTAGTGTCTGGACTTCAAACCAATGCTTTAAGCATTAAATCATTAGTTATAATTATATTATTGATTAATAACATTGATTTTAACTGCCATTTGATGTTCACTTATTACCATTATATCATTAAATAATTTATACATAATTGAAATGTTTGCAAATGACAGCAAAATGTAATTATTTGAACACTGGATTCAAATATAAAAACATTTCGTTTATTAAACATAAGCTTTAATTAAGAATAAAATTATTGATTATATTTATAATTGTATTAAATTTTTAATATACTTTTATATTTTATGTAAAAATATTATATAAATTGATTCATAAAATATAACATTCAAATTATAATATATAAAAGATTATAATATAATTTTTTGTTATATAAATTGTTATTGACTTTTGAATAATTAAATATTCAGTGAATATAATACACTATTATAATCTAATATAATAAATATATTGTATTAAATATCTTATATTAAATATTAAGCTAAAAATCTTATTTAATTAAATTTTTATAATAAAAATATATAATTTAATTAAAATATTACTTTATAATTGAAATATTATATGATATCAAGTCCTCTAAAGTCTGTTTAATCTCTGATATAATGAGCGAAACTTATGTCAAAATGTAATTAATATTTAAAAAAGAGAAAAATTGTTTTCAAGAGATTATATTTTATTAAATTATGAAATACATCATGTATCTCATCTTTACATGTATTGTGCAATACATGGTAAACATGTTTGCCCTTAACCTTTATATTCAAAAATAGATCAAAGTATTTAATGTTAAGGATTTAAGTGTTGATTAAAAAAGTTACTTTTGTTTTGGGCTTCAAGTAAGTTGTTGTGCGAGAGAGAGAGAGAGAGAGAGAGAGAGAGAGAGAGAGAGAGAGAGAGAGAGAGA